GGGTTGCGGCCTGCGTTCAATCACCCAGCACTCCTGATTGCGGTTGGGAGATGTTTGAGTTGCGGCTCGGGTGGTTCTATCCTTCCAATTGAGCTGCATGAATTGAAGTCTGTATTATTTAATATTTGGCTTTACTAACTAATTTATTTATTGATAGAAGGAAAAGAGATCTTCATTAGTAATGGAGTTCTGGGAAAGTATAACATCATCACAAAAGCGAAAATTTGCAGCTATATCAGAACGTACAACTGTAATGGTATGAGCTTTGTTCAATAGAAAGGAAAAGATCTGAAAATTTTTAAACCAATTTCTTTCTGCACATATATGTTTTTTATGACGTTAAGCTATATTAGTTCCGTGAGGTTTTCTCCTGTGAACATCAAATATCTACAAAATTTGATTTACAAAACATTGATTATAAAGTTTATGATGTCGCTGAGTTGTTTGAAAAGCCTAGACAAATTCACTTGAGGTATCCGGAAACCCTGACAATCTGGATTCAGAGAAATATAGAGATGATAGAAAAAATTAATGAAGGAAAGCATTTTTGCGCTAAATAAATTTATAACGGGAACGAAGTTCCCAACATGGGAAACGTGTGAATCTTTTGATGTTTTTTTAGCTCAAGGATTTGGTAAACTATTTTAAAATTTTCTATATACTATTTACAGAAAATAATTTTAAACTTGGACAAATAATTTTTATTGAACCTGGATTATACTTATTTTCATCTTTTATAGTCCCTAATCTTATTATACTAACTTCGCTTTTTGACTTAGAACATGCCCCGAGACTCATCTGAACGCTTCTTTGTTGCGGCATAATATAATTAGAAAAATTAAAAATTTTCAGAAGCTTGAAAAAAAAGGACAACGTCACATCATGTTGCCTATCGCAAATTGAAAATACGTACGTACCAGGTTGTGCTCCGGATAATCATGTGGTTGTCCGGAAATCAAACCAGACGATCCAAACAATCATTAATGATATCATCGATTAATTAAATAAACTATCGCTATACGATACTAATAAGTAATTATCGTTATTTTCAAGGCTAATTCGTTTCTTTATTAATTCATTTCATATCTCGCTTCATCGTTTCTTTATTAATTCATTTCATATCTCGCTTCATATTTCGCTTCACACATCTCTTCACATTTCATATTTCGCTTCATATTTCACTTCACACTTCGCTTCACATTTCATATAAATAAAAAAAAAAATAATAGCTGATTTACCTACTCCAAAAAAATTTTCACCCAATAATACTTTTAAAGTTGAATATTGGGCAGCTTAATGTAGTTTTATATGTGGATCTTAACAGTAACGAAGATGCCTTAAATCGGTTAAGCGAATTTCAGAAAATATCAAATACCACTATGCAACTAACCAAAACCTTTATTGTCAAGTAATAAATAAAAAAAGAAAAACTTCCGAAAAAATGCATCATTTATCAAAAAACATTAACGTGAATAAACAAAATTAATAATGTAAAAGTTTTTAATCTTTATAAATGTATACGTATTATTATGTATTGTAATATTTGCGCGAAGTATATAATTAATGAAAATAAAAATCAAACTTCAAAAATTTTACCGGATATTCATTCCGGACTATCACATGATCATCCGGAGCACAACCTGGTACCCACCAGGGACCTCATAGACAGAAGTTCGTTTGATTGGTTAATTTTTATAGATCTACCCGTGATTTCCCGTGATTATTAACCAATCA